AGGACCCCCTGCCTACTGCAGGCAGTGGATCGGGGTCAACAGAGGGCCTGCAGGCCTCCTTCCTGTCCTCCCTGGACCCCACTTTCCTTGGCCAAAGGAGCCGCAGGGCCCCTGGGCGGGTCCCGTCCGCCACCCCTGTAGCCCCCCGCGCCGCCCCGCCTCTCTGGCCCTGAGCCCCCGCGCCCACCCCGCAGGCCTACGAGGGGGTGCTGCAGCTGGTGGAGGCCCGCGGCTGCTATGAGGAGCTGTGCATCGTCATGTGCGTCATCCCAGCCACCATCAGCAACAATGTGCCGGGCACGGACTTCAGCCTGGGCTGCGACACCGCCGTCAACGCTGCCATGGAGGTGGGGCCTCGTGGTTCAGACACCCATTACCTCCCTGTTTTAGTTCCCTTTTCTCAATTCAGAGTGAGGAGTGTTATTACCTGTCACTGGCACATCGTCGTTAGCATCTGAAGAACCCGTGTCACCCACGCCCTTGATTACCTTGACCAGCGCTGGCAGCAGGGCCCTCCCTGTGCATCGATGGGGGAGACCCTCGTAGTGATGTCCTTGGCCTGAACCCAGTAGATACCAGCGACACCCCCGTTGTCCCCCAGGGGCAGAGTCACCCTGGCTGAGGGCAGCTGTACGTGGCCTGTGGAGAGCTCATGGTGAGGGCCATCAGCACACGGCCTCCCAGTGACCCTCAGTCAGCGTCGGAGAGAAACCGGGTCCCTGCGGCATAGAGGGTTCCTGTGGCCCACCAGGGGGACCCTGACCACCCTGTCCCCCCAGAGCTGTGACCGCATCAAGCAGTCGGCCTCAGGGACCAAGCGCCGGGTGTTCATTGTGGAGACTATGGGGGGCTACTGCGGCTACCTGGCCACCGTGACCGGCATTGCTGTGGGGGCTGACGCCGCCTACATCTTTGAGGACCCGTTTAACATCCAGGACTTGAAGGTGAGCGAGCTGGGCCCTCCGCCTTCTCCTGCTGCGGGGTGGAGTCGGCCCCTCCTAAGACACACACAGGAGCCAGCCTGGCACGGGGTGGCGCCCAGCCATGGAGCCACGGCCCCCTGCCTGCGAGGGGACCTGGCCATGGGCCCTGCGCCCCTTTTCTCCTGTAGCCACACCCAGTGTCCACACTGCAGCTTCTGTGGCCTCGTGGCCCAGCTGGTATCCCGCAACGCCCTCCTGCCACCTGCAGACCCACATGCCCCCCCTCACCCCTGGGTCACATTGGCTCTACCTGTTGGTTGGTCTGGAATAGTCCTTCCCAGGCAGCCTGCCTTCTGGCTGCGGTGGGGCAGTGCAGGCTGCTGCCCCGACCCTGGCTCACTGGTCCCTGGCTCCTATAGGCCAACGTGGAGCACATGACGGAGAAGATGAAGACAGAGATCCAGAGGGGCCTGGTGCTGCGGTGAGGCTGCGGGCAGGCCCGGGCCCGGGCGGGAGGAGGGTCTGCCCAAGCTATGGCAGGGGCTTCCAGACCCTGGGCTGTGGGTCGGAAGAAGGTGGGCGGTGGGGGGCACTTGGGGAGGGATGGGAGGGGTCAGCATTCCCCTGAGGCCTGTGTCCTGGCCCAGCAGACTCAGCATCGGGGAGGCCTGAGCAGGCTCCTGTGTAAAACTTGGGTCCTCTCGTCCTCTTCCCAGAAATGAAAAGTGCCATGAACACTACACCACAGAGTTTCTGTACAACCTCTACTCCTCCGAAGGGAAGGGCATTTTTGACTGCAGGACCAATGTCCTGGGCCACCTACAGCAGGTATGGCGTTAGGGGCATGGGTCCCTCACCCCGTGCCTTCATCTGCAACTGGGCCAAATGGTCCAGAAGGACACAGCAGGATGAGGGCCTTCTATATGCACAGCTTTGTGGGGTCCTGGGTGTAGGTCACTGCCTGCTTCTCCCTCCTGGCCCGGAACAAAGTGCTTATCACCCCATCACTTCGGTGGGGACATCATGCTCCATCTGCTGAGGGCTTGCCGCCGGCCAGGAGGGGGTGGGGCCAGACCCCTGGGGTCACCTGTACCTGCCACATCCGCTCTCTGTCTCAGCCTCCTAGTTACCGTACAAGGAGCTAGAGCGGTGGGGTTTCCCAGCCCAGTGTTAGGACTGTGTGCACCCCAAGGGCTCCCCTCCCTGGGGGCGTTCCTTGCTCACTGTGATGGGACCTGCCTGCCAGACACCTGGGCCCATGGGGACTGCCCCACCCAGTGCCTAGTCAGCTTCCTGCCTGGCCCCTGGTAGTGGCTTTTAGGGCAGATTTGAGGTGGAAGGGTCAGGGGTGCTGCAGGCAGAAGGGACGGGGTGTCAGAAACTGCCTGCAGAGCTCACCTGAGGCCACAGCAGGGCCAAATTTTGGGACTTGTGGGGACAGGGCCTGCCTTGGCCAAGTCTCCTCTCTGCAGGCTGGATAATAGCTTCACCCACTGTGTCTCCAGGGCGGGGCTCCAACCCCATTTGACCGGAACTACGGGACCAAGCTGGGGGTGAAGGCCTTGCTCTGGATGTCCGAGAAGCTTCGGGCTGTCTACCGCAATGGTACGTCGGGGTGGTGGCTTGTCCTGCCCTTGCCTTCTGCCCCCGGCTGTGGGGGCGGGGCCACAGCACGTGCCTGTGTCCACAGGGCGGGTGTTTGCCAACGCCCCTGACTCGGCCTGTGTGATCGGCCTTCAGAAGAAGTCAGTGGCCTTCAGCCCTGTCACTGAGCTCAAAAAGGACACCGACTTCGAGTGAGTGCCTCCCGAGTGAGGGCGGATGGCTGGGCCCAGACCTCCCCGGGCGAGCGCGCTGGGGCACGGGAGGGGCGCGGTGGGTCAGCTGGACTGCAGGTCTCGGTGCACGCTCCCCGCTCCGTTCCTGGCGAGGGTACTGAGTCCGTCCTGGGTGCATGCCCACCCAGGGTGCATGACCACCACCGGGGGCCACTCCTGTCAGGGGGTGCGTCCGGTCCAGGGCTCAGGGGAGGAAGTTGCGGCTGAGGGAGTGCCCTGACCCCTGACCCCGCCCTGCACCAGGCACCGCATGCCCCGGGAGCAGTGGTGGCTAAACCTGAGGCTGATGCTGAAGATGCTGGCGCACTACCGCATCAGCATGGCTGACTACGTGTCTGGAGAGCTGGAGCATGTCACCCGCCGCACCCTGAGCATGGACAAGGGCTTCTGAGGCTGCCTGCCACCCTCCTGGCCACCTGGCCCTTCCCTGCCGGGCTGCTGCCGCCTGGAGCCTGCAGGCAGGCGGGCGGGCAGTGGGTAGGCTGCGGCCCTCTTTCAGCCCTGCCCTGGGGGGCTCACGGCCCTGCCTCCAGGACCCTGGCCACCCACCTTCTAGCCCTGGGGGACATGGGGCCTCCGAGTCTGGACACCACTGCCCCTCCTCAGCCCCTTGCATGGCCCTGAGTCACTCCCCATGCCGGCCCTTCGCCCTCACCAGCCCTTGGGGTCCAGTGCCCGAGTCTTCGTGCCAAGGGAGGTGTGTCCCTGGGGGCCTTGCTGCGCACTGGACAATGTGGTTGGGCAGAGCTTGCCATCTTTTGTAGGAATAAAAGCAGCCCAAGAGAGGAGTGCCAGCGGTCTGTGGAGAGCAGAGCCCACGGGACTCTGTAGGGAGGCCGGGCTGCTGGTGGTTGGCAGAGGGGGTGGCTCTGGGGTTGTGCTCTGGCTCCGGGTCCGGGGCTCCATGACATATGCCCTCTGGGGCCACACTCTCCTCCCATGACCTGAGGCTCTGCTGGCCCTGTCCTGAGCCCTTCCAGACTGTCCGGAGGGGGGACTAGAAAGCCCTCAGCCTTGTCGTGAGAGGGGACCTGCACCCTCCCGCCCTGTTCTGACAGTGGACAGGCCTGGCCTCCGCCAGGCTGAGGGTTTCTCAGCCTGGATCCAGGCTCCAAGCCTGATCTTGAATGGCCCCCCAGACTCAGCCTGGGCTGGGGTCTCTCAAGCCGGGACGGGAGGCTGATCTGAGTGAGGCTGCCGGGAGACCCTAGTGGGGGTGCACAACAGGAGGGGGAGTAGCCAGCAGCTCCATCACCACGGGCCGGGCCGTGGGCTGATCCCCCAGGAGTTCCAGGGCAGCCTTGAGGAGCCTCGGTCCTCGGCGCGGTGCCGGCTCCCAGGAGGGCTCGCTGACCTGGACCGCGCCAAGGGGCGCTTTGGCGGGACCCGTCACCCCCGGGCTCGCTGCCCCACCCAGGTCTTTTCCCGCCATGGCTACCAGGGAGCTGAGTCCCGGGCTGCTCGGCCCGCACTCTTGCCCTCACCCCCGCAGAGGCCCAGGACATCGGGGGTTCTGGGCAGGGGGTCTCCTGGTGGGGCCTGGCTCGGTGGCTCCAGAGGCCAGGTTGGGCCCTTCCTCCCCCGGGCTGCCTCATGTCCTGCCTGTGGCAGGGAGCCTTGGTCGCTCCAGGGGGCCAGCAGGCAGGGCTGGACACACCAGCCTCAGCACGGCGGCCCTGAGCCTGAGCACTAAGGGGCCCGGGAGCTGGGCGCTCGGGTCCGCTCTGCCTGCCATGAGCGTGGGCCTGTCCGGGCAGGCTGAGCGGTGTGTCCTCCTGGGCCGGGCCTGTCCTGGGTGGACTGGGGCTAATGGGACACACACAGGGTGTAATGCCCAGACACGCCGTGCTCAAACTCCCTGTTTTCCGGGTTACTGGGGAAGGTCAGAGTGGGGACTATCAAGTGCCTCCATTGAAAACCACAGGCCATGGCTGAACATGCTGTCCTTGGTCCAGCACTAGGGCTTCAAAGGCCACCAAAGAAGGAGGTGGCCAGGAGTAGAGGGGCTCCGTGAGCTGATAGAGCCTCTGATCTGGGGGAGTGGGGGCTGGGGAAGCGCAGTGAAGAGCTGAAGGGCTGAGGCAGGCAGCTCCTCCTGACGGGTCCAATTCATGGGTCCCCGAGGTGCACCAGATCGTGGGGCAGGCGGGAGGAAAGCTGGTGGGAGTCCCACCTGGAGAGTGGGGAAAGGGAGGGCGTTCGTAATTCAACAGAACCACCCCCAGCTCATTCTAACCAAGGCACAGCTTTACTGAGAGCAAAACCCCATGAGAAGACCCACGCACAGCTACCCTTCCGGGATGACCCTAGGTAGCGACTCCTTGCCTCTCACTGCTCAGAGCTCACCCCTTTGTCCTGACAAAGGAGCCCCACAGGTAAAGCCTCTGCTCCTGCCCGGGGCCTCCCCTGATCCAGCGTTCGGAGGGCACTGGGGTCCGAAAGAGCTGGCAGCACGGTGCAGCTTCATTTAGGAGGGCCGTGGTCTGCCAGACGCCGTCCTTCCACCACTGGTGGCTTGCCCGGCACATGTTGCGGCTGTCACCTCTTCGGTTGGTGAGGCTCTCACACAGGCTGGTGCCCTCAGCTCTCACAGGGATGCAGACATTCCTACCCCGGAGGGAGGAAGGGGGCGGAGGGAATGACACCCTGCCTCCCTCCCCAGCTCCAGTCATTTCAGTCGTGGGCAGAGCGGACTTGTCTCTAGTGGGTCGGGGGCCATTCCGCTCCCCTTCCACGTAGACGCTTCCTCAGCTCTTGGGGGCACTACGACGGCCACCAGGGCTGTAGCATCACCACCTGGATGATGCCTCATGGCAAGGCCTGCGACTTCCCAGAGGAAGAAAACGTGTTAGATGCAGTTTCCAAAAGTCCATCCTTCCCACTCGGCTGCTCCACCTGCGACCACACCTCGATCCCCAAGCGGCTGTGGCTGGCCTGTCCTCGCGAGGCCTCTGAGGCAGGGTCCGCACAAACCTTGTATGTGGCCGCAGGGCTCTTAAAAAGCTGAGCGCTTTCCTCTCAGCCACCAGCCAAACGGAACACCCCCAGATGGAAGGCGGCGGCGGCCGTGGCTGTGCCGCGTGTCTGTCAGTGCGATGCTGAGGCGGGGCCTGCCTGTGAGGGGGCCATGGCTCTGGAAGGCTCCTGTGGCCCAGAAATCCACCCCAGGACTGGGGAAAACGCAGCAATAGCTCTCAGCTTCACCAAGAACGTCATGTCTGTCACTTAGGAAACCTGTATCCAGGTCAGACTTTGGAAAATGTTTATTGGGGAGAAGGGCCGGGTCACCTGCACAGGAGGCACGGGAGCGGGGTCTGCCCAACCAGGCCCCAACGCCCTTCCGGCCCTCTCCGGGTGCCATCTGAAGTGACAGCTCGGCCTTCCTGGGCGGGTTGAAGCTTCCTGAGGATGTGGTCCCATGTGCTGGGGCTCAGCTTGGGCTCCGGCAGTGGCTGTGGCTCTGACAGTCAGCCCCATCTCTCGGGCGCTTGAGAAGACACACAGGAACTTCGGCGCAGGGTCCTGCGGAGGGCCTGGCGGCACAGGGTCCCTGCTGGGTCACTCCACGTCCTCCTGCAGCTCCTGCCTGTGCAGGGCCCGCAGCCGGCTGACCACGGTCTGGTGCACGGCCTCCAGCCCCTCGATGTCCAGGTCCCGCAGCAGCAGCAGGATGGCAGTCAGGATGTTGTCCTGGGAGCACAGAGGGTCCCTGGCTGAGTGCCGCGTCCGGCAAGGCCAGTCTGCCCACACCACGTCATGCCCGGAGCCCTGGCTGGCAGCGTGCTACATCCCGGGGGCTGGGCCTTCCAGGAAACCAGGCCACACGGATGGAGGCGCGTGCAGCCTGAGGCCCAGCTGCAGCTCTAGCGTGGCGTTCGCTGCCTTGGGGGCTCCCTACGTACCATCTCCTTTCACACGCACAGCCTGGAAGCCGGAGTGGCTGAGTAACTGGCCCTTAGTCACACAGCTGGTCCAGCAGGAATCAGAAGCAGCTGATGACTCTAACACTTGCTCAAACACATATGTGCATGTGATGCACGTATGTGTCAGTATACCTATACTCAGTTTCTACCTGTAGCCAAGCAGGGAAACTACGCTGTTTGTGCTATGAAAACCTGGGAAGGATTTTGCACATGGGGGGCTATGCGAGCTGATTCCTCCTGTGAGGGGCCTGGAGGACTGGCCGTGGGCACGGAGCACACTGCGCTGTGATCGAGTGCTCAGAGGAGACAAGGGAGCTTTGTGCCGCCCCCACCTCCTGAGACCCGCACCCGGACGCAGACCCCTGGCCTCTGCAACACTCACGGCTCCCGCTCCCCGCAAGTCTCCCACCCGGCCCGCCTTGTCCCCGAGTCTCTCTGCCACCTGCATCCTTGCACTCTGGGACTTGTGTGGGCTCACTGCCCTCCGGGGTGCCCAGAGTGGCTGGGACCCTCCGAGGCAGGTTGAAGCCATGTTTCACATTCACAGCAGGGCCAGGCCGCCCCCTTCTCTGTTTCACGGAAGCAGGCCTCCTTTTTAAAGCAGGTTCCGTGGTTTTCAGCTGACATTTATGGAGGGCACCGAGCTGCATCAGTATTCTCAATTTCTGGTCCATTCTCCCCGAGGACGTGCAGTGCCCCCACATGGGGCGGAGGGGCTTTGTGCCTCAGCCCCCTGCCGGGGCAGACCTGCTTCCTGAAACTGAATGGACGTCGGGGGCTCCTCCTGAGATGGAGAAGTGTGTCCATGGCCCACCAAGCTGGCTCCAAGCAGCCACCCCAGTGAAGAGGAGAGTGAAGTCTGGAGGGGGCTGTGCTCTGGGGGTGGGGACGTGGGGCACGGGCCCAGCGACAGCGGCTTACACCAGCCTCCGTCTGCGGTCACTTTTGTCCAAAGCTCTGGGGTAATGCTCTACCTGGGGGGCGAGCTGACACCTCCCATGGATGGGGTGTCAGTCACCCACTTCTGCAACGCCCCCCCAAGCTTTGCATTTTCAGTGGTCACTGCACAAATGCACGAGGGTGACACAGGGGCAAGTAGACACATGGAAGTGACCGGGACTTTGGTGATATCACCCAGTGGCCCACTTCTTGTTAGGTCAACAACCTGTTCTCCTGACAGGGAAGGCTCCGGAGCCATGGGGCCTGCTTCCTGGTCACTGTGGGGTGACACGAGGCTCCCTGGCCAGGATGAGGGGTCCCCGGTCACAGCGCAGGTGGGAGGCCACTGCACAGCAGCGAACCTCTGCAGCTGACGGGCGGCCACAGCCTCCCCTCGGCCCCACAGACGCGGGGCTCTCCCTGCGGCCTCGGGCCCGCAGTCCCCACACATAGGCAGAGGACGCATACGGCAGACACAAAGCTGGGGCCGGGCTTAGTTAGCCTCTGCGGCGTCCCCAGCCCCCACCCCACTCCTGCCACGATCTCCACACTCCGAGCAGAGGCAGCCCAGGACCACCCCCGTCACACTTACCCTGTTCTTGCAACTGCTCGCCGCGTCCCTCTGTGAGAAGGAAGGAAGCCGGTCCTGGGCAGGGGGCTTCAGGCCGAGCTGTCCCCGGATGTGGCTGGTTGGGGGGGGGGGGGTGACAACGCATGAAGACTGAGCAGGGCCGACTCCCAGAGCCTCAGAGCACAGCAAGGAGGGGGCGCCTAGCAATGGTGCCTCCCGTCCCCGGTGTGAAGGGAAACCCCCACAACGAGACTACTTCTGCAGGGACTGAAGCACCAGACAGGAAGGCGGGAAGGTGCGACAGCATCTATTTCTCTCTGATTCCCTGGGGGCTGCCTTGTTGTACCCAAGCTCCTGCCCAGGGTCCAGGGCGGGGGTACTAACACAAATGACATTGTGTGAGATGCCAGGAAAACACAACAGCCTTTCATCTGCCATGTGCACTGAACCTGGCAGCCCCTCTGGAAACAACTGTCTCTACAATGTTGCCCACATTCAGTTTCTGCTCAAAACCATCCAAGACAATCACAGAACTGCCTCGGAGGCCACCCTGCCCTCTGCTGGGGGCTCCTCTAGTCGGCATTCCCTCCTCCGACTGGTACCCAGGTGCCCACGAACCCACCTCTCTGGGCAACGCCCCCCGCCCCCCGCCCCCGCGCACAGAGCTTGTTCTGCACCTACACGTGCACTGTGCCTAGAGCGTTCTCTTGGCCATCGAGGGCAGATGAGCAAGAACCACTGGGGGCAGCTTGCCCCCCATCCCTGGAGAGGGGATCATGGCGGGCTGACTCTCCTCAGGAGGGCGGACAGGCCCACCGCTCACCTCCCCTTCTCCTCCTCGTCGCAGAAGCTCAGCTGGTCCCCTTGGGTCTCGGTGGCGGTGTTCATGGCACTCAGGGCATAGGACAGCTCGGGCCTGCCATTCCCTGTGCCCTCTCTGCTGGGGGCCGTGACCTCCTCTCCCTCCATCACTGCTCGGGCCAGCTCCTCCTCAGTCACAGCTTTGGGGGGAAGGAGAAGGGGCAAAAGCTCAGGGGGCCTCGCCACATGCAGGCCTCGCGTGCTGCAGCACTCAGCACAGTCTGCCTTAGAAAAAAGGTGTCTGTCTACTGCGTCAGCCATTCCCCAGCCCTGGCAGGAGCTGGGCACACAGCTGATGGCTAACGACTGCTTGTGAATGTGAATTTCAGCATTTCCCAAAAGCAAGTTATCATTAAAAAAAAAAAAAAAGACAAACCCTCAAATTAAATTTTAAAAAGGAACAGAATACACTGCATTTATTCCATTTGACTTAATTGCCCTGGAGTTTATTTATATTAAAATTGTTCATCTGGGAGAAAATAATTATGCACGTAAGACAAGGATTAGAAGCCAGCATGCAGAGGATGCCAGACAAACCAGAGAGAGGGCCAGGCCCTGGGAGCGGGCGGACCTGTGGAGGCGGGAGCACAAAGACCCGGCGCACTCGGCACAGGGCAGAGGCAGGCCTGCGGCTCCTGGGGAGGTGCAGGTGACACTCCACAGCCCCGACAGGTAGAGGCCAACACCAGGTAACCCAAACCTGGGAGCATAGGGGTACCACCACCCTGGGTCCCCAGGGACCAGCAGCGACACCGTTTAGCCCACTGGACATTCTCCTGCTTGTCAGGGCGTCTGGATGACTGTTGGGGGCAAAGTGGACTTAAGAGAAAAAAACAAACCTCCCAAAATAGCCCAGTGCAGGTTGGCAGTTGGATGGACAAACAAGTTGTGTGAGGTCCACCCAAGCTCGTGTGCTCTGCAAGTGTGAGGCTGCACCCCCATAATGGAATCCCAGGGACACTCTGCAAGAAGCACAAACCTGGGGGGGTTCTTTCCGGGAGACTCCAGAGCAGGAGGCATCTGCGATGTCCTGAGAGGCCAGGGGTTTGCAGAAAGGGGCAGAGGAGGGAGGGTGCCCGCTGGGGTGCTCAGTGCAGACACCTACCCTGGTTGTCCAGCTTCTGCAGGTTCGGCAGGTTGCGCAGGACGGTCATGCGGTAGAGGTGGGGGTCAGCGCCGCAGCACGGATTCTCGGCCAGCCACAGGACCCGCAGGCGCGGCAGGCCCTTCAGGTAGCAGAGCTCGGTCAGGCTGGCGATGCGGTTCCGCCGCAGGTAGAGCTCGCTCAGGTGCTGGCACTGGCTCACAGGCTCCAGGGTCGACACGCTGTTGACGCTGCAAAGACAGTGCGACACGCTGTTGACGCTGCAAAGACAGTGCGGCGAGCACCTGTCTGGCATTATCTTGTGTTACAGAGTGGGAAACTGAGGCAGAGAGATCTGCACTTTGCCCCGGGTGGGAGGACTGAGACTGCGCCTGGGCACAGCTGTAAACCATTTGTTCATTTATTCCAATGAGCAGGTGCCGACCAGAGGCTTGGGCCGGGGCTGGGGGAGCCGTGAGCAGAAAGCGGGCAGCGCAAGCACCCAGCAGGCGACCGCAGAAGGTGCAAAGGATGAGCGGAGGGCTAGCGAGGGACACACAGGGTGGCCGGCCCTGTGATCAGGAAGGTAAGCCACAGGGGTCAGCACGGGAGCCCGGGCCATGACTACAACACTCAGGGAGAGTTCCAGAGCCTGCTGAACTGCCATAAAGGGATAGTCTGCATTCCCTGCAGAGTTCCGATCCCCATAAGGTTTTACACAGGGGGACCTGCAGGAAGCACGCCAGCATCAGAGCAGCATGGATCCGCCGGGCTGGCTGCCACCCTGGGTCCAGAGCGGGCAGGAGGGCGTTTGGGGGAGACCCTTCGAACTCCCCAGCTGCCTGAAATCCCAGTGACAGAATTTGGTTTGCTCAAGGTTTCCTAGTCTGTTAAAATGCCATGACTCAATAAGAGGTAACATCAATGACAAAGGAGGTAACAAAGTGGCAGAGCTCCTAGCAGTGATGGAACCAGGTCAGAGAAGGCTGGGGGCTGGGGAGCAGATGTGGCCACGATGTGGCTGTCCGTCACTGGGGGGCCACCCTCACTGACCCACAGCAAGGGCAGGCAGGACGCAGCAGCAGGGAGGCCCGGGTGAGGCCCCAGAGAGGAGGTGGGGTTGGGTGGAGTGGAGGCGCCGGCAGCCCTCCCAGACTTTCCCGGGAGTTTGCAGATTCTCTGGGTCCCCCTCCTCTTTCAAGCCCCAGTGACAGAGGGACAGCAGGCCTTCGGGTACCTGAGAGTGATCACTTCCAGGCTGGGCATCTCCCGGCATATGGAGATCTAGGGCAGAAAAGGGCAGGGCTGCAGACACTGCTGGGCACCAGCACTGCGACGTCACCTCTCCCCAACCAACAGAGAAACAGGTTGGGGACACCGTCACCTCCACCTCCCAGGCCTAAGCGAGGTGGCCTCCGCCTCACCTTGTACTGACTACACAAGCGCAGTGCGCTCTGCGCTCCACTCCACTCTGCAGCCCAGATGTCCCCTCGGCCTGGAGAAGCGGGCGCTGTCCCTAACACTTTCAAACAGCACCATGCCATAGCACGCTGCTGGCCACCAGGACAGAGCAGTGCTCGTTTTAGAAGCCCTCCAAGGACATCGCATAAGGGGACCTCAGTGCCCCCTATGCTGGACAGAGAGCCTTTCTACTTGCTGTCCCCGATCTACAGGAAAAGGACCTAAGCCCCTTCTTGCCATCACAGCTGGGCAGGATTGACAGGGCTGAAACTGGGATTTCAGATTGTAGTAATACCGTTGATTCTGTGGGTAAGAGCAGCGAGGGGCTCTGGTGGAGCCAAAGCTCCCTAACCTGTCAGGTCATTCAGTGGTGCAGCGAGGCACCCCAAGCATCGAGGTGCCTGCCATTCCAGTCACCAGGCATGAAGCTAGACAGTCCTCACCACATCAGCTCATGGTGTGGTCAGGATGCTTCATGGTGGGATGGATTTTTTTCCCTGCTACCATGGTCATGTTTTTGTTTATTTTCCTGCTAAATATGCAGCTCTTCAGCCTACTGCATGAGGTGGACTCAGCTTTTCTGCAGAGCCCAGTAGCTCAGCAGCATTCAAACTTTGTTTTTAAGGAATGGTACAGTTCAAGTTACAAAAGTAGATAAGAACTGAACGACCGGCACTCAAACTCTGCACAAGTTGCAGGCATTCATTCTAGGGGTGAGAAAAAAAGAGATCTATTCACAGACCCATGGCTCGCTTGGCTCTGTGCTGCTCCCTCACCCCCCAGGTCCAATCTCCTCCTGTCATTGGGGGAGGGGGGTGGCATGAAGCTGGATATGACCAAGACGAGGAGCTGAAGTGAGGAACCTCATCCAGAGGAACCTCCTCCTCGGTGACACGAAGTCCAGGAACCCACAGGACCCCCAGCCGAGTGTGCTTCTCTGTAAAGTGAAGCCAGCCCTGGGTTCCTCCCCAGGTCAGGGCAGGGCTGCCCCCGCTTCTCTGAGACCTGCATGGACACAGGAGCCTCTCAACAACATGTTTAAAGCGAATGTTTAAAGGAACTTCAAAATAAACTTGGGTGCCAGAGAAAGTGTTTTTTTTGTTTGTTTTTGTTTTGTGTTTTTAATGAGTGATTCTGCCGTACAACAACTGCCAAATGAACAAAGTACCAGACTAGGACCTGCGTTGAATGGGTGCAGTCCTACCAGTTTAACAATTCCCTTGTGGAAGAGGCTGCCACTTTGGAGGTCAGGGGTCAGCATAATACTTACATCTGTGAGGCGGCTGCCCCTGGGGAAAGAAAAGACACGTGCTTTAATTTTGTTAAAGGTTAATACAAAAAAATTAAAGAACTCCAAACATTTACAAATGCCTACAAACTTTAAGATAAACTTTCAATGATAAAGTAAAAGCTTGCCCAGATAACACAGGTGTCAAAAATTGGTTCATGGTTGATTTTCCACAAAACCATACATATATTTGGTGCCTGAGAGCTGCTTCTTAGACTGGAGTGGTAGAAGCTGCTCCATTTGGAGGACACAAGATCAACTCGTTCTTAAGACTGTGGCAGAAGGATCATTTCCCTCGCTGATGCAAACAAAGGAGTCTTTATAAGAGGCCAAGTTCAAAGGCTAAACATGTACCTCATGAAACATTTTTAAAAGCCTGAAATAGGATGCTGTTTCTCCCTGCTTAGAGAAAGTATGACCACCCCAAGCAGAACAAAGAAATGCATTATTGAAAATGAATGACAGGGGATGTTGTGGCCAAAGTACCAGATGTGCCAGAGCAAGAAGAAAAGCTTTTTAATGAGCAAGCAGGGCTTCTACCGTGCAGTCAATCTGCTGACCCCAGTGGCCAGGTCTGCTCTTGGCTGAGCTTCCTACACTCACCTGAACTGTTCAGTTCACAGTCACGTGTGATGCCTCGCTCTGAGCACCTGCACCTCTTTCAGAAGTTCATAAAACGCTTCTGGTCCTGCCTCAACCCTATTAGACCACCCTGCCTTGGAGCCTGCACTGACCCCACAGCACCCCTATCCTGCTGTGACATCCCAGACAGTGAGTCACCTGGGGACAGCTCCTCTCTCAAAGGATGCAGCTAGAAAAATGATTAAATCACTGCTGAAGTGTCTCAGTTCTCTCTTCTTTCCTTTAGAAAGGGTTTTAATCCCCTGGTCTCCCACCTTGTTGGTAGACTTGGCTCCCAATGAGGGGCAATGTCAGAAATCAGACCCGCCCACAGAGGAAACCATCTGTCCCACTAAAGTTATCTAGAAGCCCCATAACAAGTCTTTAAGGTGATTCTAATTGTTTCCAGCAAGGATAGCAGGTTTGGAGCCTGTGTACGAAACACCACCACAGGAAAGGGTGCGGTGTGAGAGCATGAAAATTCTGGAATGACTTTTGCCAATGGCCATCTGAGTTTGTGGCAGTACCTCCCAGAGGCTGTGGGCCCTTGGGATCCGGAAGGCCAGCCTGGCCCAGAGGCCAGGAAGGCTGGGCTAGCGGTGATCTCCGCCTCGACTGGCCCTTGTAGAAGCCATCTTCGGCCCCGCCCCAGAGCAGATATATAAAACTGGGGGCCACAAGCCAGGGCGGAGGTGCCGAGCCGAGCCGGGGCGGGGTGAGGGGGCGGCCCCACCCCGGGGAGGGGATGACGGGCGGGGATCCTCGCTCCAGGACAGGATGGACGCCCCGGGTTCTGGGCCTCACCAGCAGTTGAGCTTCCTCACGCTGTGCAGCTCCGAGGCCTTGGCCCGGGACAGGACCATCTTGCGCGTCAGCTTCATGGCGATGGCCCGCCGGGACCCCAGCCACCGGCCGGGCCCTGGACCCGCCAAACACCCTAGAGGAGTGCGGCTCCGCAGCGGTGCGTCTCCAGGGGGCGGGGCCCGCGTCGTTAGGGCGTCCTCTGCGAGGTCATTGGCCTCCCGGTAAGGGGGCGGGGCTGCACGAGCCTAGTGGGACCACCTGGACTTCCGCTCCCCCGCTGGCTCCGCCCCCTAACGCGCCAAGAGCGGAGCGCCTGGTTCTGCGCAGGTCGGCGTGGGGACGCCAGGCTCTGACGTCATTCTCCGGCGACCCAACATGGTTACCCTCTTTCAGTCCTGAGCTCCAGTCCTGACCGCCGATCTCTCAGTCCCGAACCCCGACCTCCGAAAGACATGGGGCTGCCCTAGCAGGGACTTCACAAGTATTTAAGCCTTTTAGAATTTAGAAGTTACCTGGGCTGCAAATTTCATTAAGGCATTTGGCATCTGAGATGAGTTAGGGGTGGCAAGACCAAAAGAAGTGTGAGAACTCTTTCCACTAGGCCCCTGTCGTGGCTTTGGTCTGCCAGTCAGAGCTCTCAAACAGACACACTGGCTTTAGTCGTGGCCTTCTGGGGACCTGTCCCAGGTATCGGAAGGAGAGGATTGCTCGTGTTGGAAGCCTGCAGTCACAAAAAGCCAAGGTTTTGGTGGTGGCCTGCAGGGGCACTGCGGATCCATCACAGGGAAGAAACGGTCCAGGCATATGCTGGTCTGCAGGCTAGAGAATGAGGAAGGGTTCCGTGCTTAGGGTGGCAATGAGTGGTTGGGTCAGTGTAAGTTTTGGGAGAATAGGGCGCTTCAAAGTAATGTGTTCCAAGGTCTGTCTGAGCTGGCCAGTAGGCAGAGAACCATCTGACTAATGAGGCTTGAGATAAGAGAAATACCGACCCTGGGCTCGGCCACATATGCAGTGGTGTGAAGCTTCCATATAGCAGGGCCAGACTGTATGAGTTTGCAGAGGGCCCCTGGCTGTCCCAGCTAGGGAGCCACGTCAAGTGACAGGGACAAAGCAGGGGCTTCCAGGAACCATGGAGAGCAGGCTGGGGCAAGAGGTGGTGCAGAATCATCAGAGAGACTGTCCAGAGTATAGAAAAGCCACAGACAGAAGAAAACAAGTGTGTGCAGGAGTTGGTTCTGGGGGAGGCCAAGCAGGCCTGTGACAAGGTGTACATTGTGACAGATGCCATTGGGCCATTGGCTGATGGGAAGAGGGTTTTAGGTTTGTTGCTCCCAGGCTTGATTCCACCTGGCTGAGACAGCCCCTTCTCCTTCTTTGGCTGATGTAGCCCAGGCAAAGTGAACAGTCAGGTTTGGGGCAAGCCATGCCAGGGAGGGCTGGGGCCCGGGCCCCATGATCCTTGTCAATCATGGAAAGTGGCACCTGCCCAGTCTCTTGCCAGTGCCTGCAGGGGTGGGCCTTCCTGCGAGAGGGCTGCACCTAGAGGGTCTTGCATAGGTGATAGGGGTGAGGGAGAGTGGTGTGAAGACCCCATAGGTCTGCCCAGAGTGGGTCAAGGACTTGAATTCAGGACATGTGATTTCCCGGCACAGAAGGGTCACCAGGGAGCAGGGACCACTCCCCGCTGAGTCCAGGTGGCCTGGGCACCTGGCAAGAGACATCTGTTCTCGGCTGAAGCTGGGACTGGGTTCCTGTCAGGCTTCCTCACAGAGGGGAAGAGGGGGACACTGACATGCCCACTTGGGCGCTTCCGCAGTCCTTGCTGCTTCTGGGTGGCTGGTTGAGAGGGTGGTTGGGTATGAATTAGTTGACTGTGATTCAGGTGACATCTGTAAAGTGAGGACTCCGCACAGTAAGTACAAATGTGGTGGTTTGAGTTGTGTCATGGCACCTCCCCCAGAACTCCCTCCCTGTGTAGCTCGAGGAGGACTTGTCCCTAAGAAACTGGCCTGCACTTTGGGAGGTGGAAGAGGAAGAGTGGCCATCACTCCCTGAAGGCCTCCCCGGTCAGATGGAGATGAACAGGATGGGCGGTGGGGTCTCCCCTGTGACATGTGCCCTTCTTCCCCACAGTGGCCCTGCCTGGCGGGGGGCTGCTCAGTGACCCTCTTCTCCAACTTTTCTTTTTGAATGTCTAAGCCCCTAGCTCCTCCCACAGTTGTATAAAGTCAAATTACTATAATATATTTTGTATTTCGTAATTTCCATAGAGGTTTTGCTTCCTTAAATGAACCCTGACAAACAAATGCAACCAAATTTGCTTAAACCAAAAGAGAAACATTAGCACACAGAATGGAGAAGCCAAGGGTACAGCTTCAAGCATGGCTTGGTCCAGGGTCTCAGTCTTCATTATCCGGCCAGGCATCTACCCACCCTGACCCCTCGAATTGCCAAACCCCGGTGCGCCACACCCTAACAGCATCAGGTCCGTGGAAAGAATGCTTTCCCACAGAGAGTTAGGTGTGAGTTGGGGATTGGCCCAGCATGGGTCCCTTGCCACCTAGACCCTGTGGCTGTGGCTGGCTGGGCAATGCCTGACTGCTGGCCTGAGTGGAGGAGACCCAGAGGGACATCGGAGAAGAAGGGGCAACCACAGCTGCTTCTGGGCCTCAGTGGCCACGGGAAAGGCGACCACCACACCCTTTCCTCGTGTTCCCTGCTCGAACTGCACCATTCCGGTGGAGACTCCCCTCTCCCAGCTGTTGCTCTGCGGCTTCCATTCACAGTATTCCCACGTGGACAGTGCCTTGGAGTTGTCGTGTGGCCCTGGTGGCCTCTGCTGTCTTAAAAAAATAAAAAAGTAAATTAGCCCTGGCTGGGTGGGTCAGTTGGTTAGAGCATCATCTTGTACACCAAAATGTTGCAGGTTTGATTCCCAGTGAGGGCACGTACCTAGATTGAAGGTTTGATCCATGGCTGGGGTGCATATGGGAGACAACCGATCAATACTTCTTTTTCACATCTCTCTCTCTCTCTCTCTCTCAAATCAATAAACATATCCTCAGGTGAGGATTAAAAAAAAGCAATTAACATCTCTAAAGGCTTTGCTGCCTGAATCCAATTCTAATCCAGCTGAGTCATGAGCTTCATTTCTGCCTACATCGGTGCCCAGACCTGCATGGCTCCCCAAACCTCCCAGGCAGCATTTCCTGTCCATGTACCTGCAACGACTCCTCCTCCCGGCTCTGAAGCCCTTGGGACTGCAGGGAGATGGGAGGCACTTCTCGTTGCCAGATGGCCTGCAGGGTTCTGGGCCCCTGTGCAGTCTTGGTGATGGTGCTGTTCTGGCAGCGATGACATGGACCCAGGGAAGGGGCCTCTTCTCCTCCCTGCTGCCCAAGAGTGGGCCCCCCTGCCAATCACTGGTGGAAGGGGCCCAGTGGCTCAAGATGCACAGCTCCATGGGCCACCTGGCCTGAAAGAGCACCTGCTAGGCAGGGATGCGGCCTGGAGCTGCTGGTCTTAAGTGAGCAGAGCTCTGCCTTCTGCAGTTGGGCCAGTTCAACACTCCCAGGCTTTAAAGTGGTGGGAAGGGGGTTTCTAGCAGTTGTTACCAGGGGTGCTGGTGCCAGGAGAGGGACTCCACTCTGGCCAAGCTAGCAAAGGTGTTCTGACCACACAGTGCCCCGGGCCTCCCCTTTGCTCCATTCACCCTCAACCCTCTCCAAGGCCACTGCATCTCATCTTCCCAACTGTGCAGGTGGGCTGTCGGTGGCTGCTTCGTCAACTGCCCCAGCCTTAGCTTCTCAGGACAATGGACACTTACCATCTCAGCACCTGTGGGGAGGGAGTCTGGGAGTGCCTGGCTAGGTCCTTCCCCTGAGGTCAAGCTGTGGGCCCAGCTGCCACCCCTGATGGCCTGGCTGAGGTCCTCCAGGCCCATTCAGACAGCTGTGGGCTGTGGAGGTTCTACTCTCACCACAGGCCCTGCCAGAGTGAGTGATGAGGTGGGGAGGGAGAGGGTCGGAGAGGGCGGATCCCTTTGGGGGTCCTTGGGCAAGTTCCTTAGTTTCCCTGAGCCATAGCTCTGTCACAATGAACAGGAGATGAGGTTCCCTGCCACATGGGGTCTTGACTGCAGACATGGGGAGGTTAGCATGGTGCCTGGTAAGGAGGGTGTGCTTGCTGACCTTCTCCAAGAGCCTTGAGGCTGGTGCTGAGAGATCAGGAAGGACGGACTGCAGACGTGCTTCAGACCTGCATTCAGACCTGGAACACACATGTAGAAGAGAAGAAGAGTGACCTGCATGTACTGATTTTACCCAGTGTCCTGAGAGATGATGCAAGTAAGGGGTCATTTCCAGCTCCATGCTCATCACTTTTTTATGGAAATGCACCCCCTGTTAGAGTGTCCTGAGCAGGCTTGCAGCCATGAGAGTGTCCACAGTAGCTGCACCGCTAGCTGTATTCTCTATACTCCTGTGCAGCCCTTTCATTCTCATTTACTTTTGCATCTTATGGGAAGTCTTTTGTGATACGATGGTTCTGGAATGCAAGTGACCTGTTGACTTGACATTAAGAAATACAATGGTGTCCCCCGGCACGAAGCCCACTTCTCTTGTGCTCTCCCTAGACCAGGAGTCAGCAAACTTGCCCACAGGCCAACCCCAGCCATTGCCTATGTCTGCAAATAAAGTGTTACTGGCACACAGCCGTGCTCATCCATGTTTTGCTAATGGCTGCTTTCTGGCTGCAGCGGCAGAATTGAGAAGCTGGGACAGAGACCATGGGCCTGCGAAGCCTGAAATATTTACCATCTGGCCGCGTACAGGACAGTCCACAGCCCCTGCTGTGGTTGTGGCATGTGGGCTCCCGCTCTCAGCCTCCCGCCTTCAGCTGCGCTCCTGGGTATTATTCATGACCAGAGCACGTCGATGTCCTGGGGGCAGACTGCCATCTTACTCCCTGATTGCGGGTTTCTGGCTGCCAGAGCAAGGGGCTTTTCATATTGGGCAAGATGTCCCTGCTGTGAAAAGCCCTCCGCTTTGCACTGCCTTCGCCTGAAATTGAAAGAACCCTCAAGCAAGACCAGTACATGCTGTGTTCCTGCTTTACAGTCAAATGCCTTTTTACTTTTATGGGAAGGATGTTTCATAATTGCTCTTGCAGTGGTGTCCTGGCAGATGG